TTTATACAAGATGTTCCAGTACTTAAATAGGAAATAATGCTTTCACGAACCTTGTGGAAGGAATAAGTAATTACTCGTGTAAATAAGCATTTTTGCTCGAAGCACTTCGATAAATAAAATATTTTACAAAGGGAATAAAGTACAAAGCAGATTCTAGGTAAGCGGTTGGAATATTGAGAGTATTATAAATACAATTACCTATTAATTAATATGTAAATACATACGTTTTATTTTATTTATTCCAAAGGGAATTGTTAAAGCGTAACAGTAGAACTACCTTTCACGAATTTTATTATTTTGTTGCTATTGAACTTGACGCTTTTTTCTTCCGACCTTGAACAATATCCATACGTCATATCTACATACATAACATAGACTTTAAACCCTATTATTTTATCAAACTTGAGGTTTGTGAGACACTGTCCATTGCTTTTGAGTAAAAAAAAATGTTATAGAGGACCAAAGAGTTAGAGATCTCTTCTCAAGTCCCTCGAACAACTTGAAGATGGGTCTACAAGACCCTATTACTTTCCTACTACTCACTATCATTGTTATCGCGGAGAAAACATAATAACGTGTCCATAAAGATACTTGGAAGAATGGGGTCTATATTGTACAAACATCAGTAAACATATTTTATTGTTTCTTTGGTTGTGATTATAATATTTTGTAACCACATATTTTACTGAACATCACGTTTTTCATGTGGTCGATGAATGTTGCAGTCAAGCATTAGGGTCCCGAACTCGAAGTTTGTATCAGGCAAAGTTTCGTCAATTTGTATTAAAGAATAAGAGAGAATATTATTTATATGTGTATGTTTATGTATGTATGTATGTTATATATTTTCCTTCGTATATTTAGGTATATACCTCTATATGTCCCATTCTTATTTGTCTACTGTTCGTTTTGCATTACGTATATATTTTAATACTTCTTCATTATATTTAATAAGTTTATTATATTCAGTGATGTGTATAATTATATATGATGTTAATGTTAATTTTAATTTTAATCTTAATTATATGTAATGTTAATTATATCTACTTGTCAATGTATGATCAAAACTCACAAGTGTTAAACGTTTGCACCTACTATTGTGTCTCTCTGCATCACCCAAAGGTTGACTGTTTGAGAATGCCACTAGGCATTAAGTCCGCCTTTGTATACCTACATGAAGTGTAAATAAATAAAAAATAAGCTGCACTTTGCATTTATAAGGAATGTAAGGAAATTAATAAGATATAATAATGTGAACTACAAATAAGTATGGTCGTGGTGGCCCGCAGATTTGAGATGCACCTCATGCATGAGGGTGAGGTTTCGAAATCTACCAACGGCAAGTACCAATGTGACTTTTTCCAAGCCATATGTACTTTCTAAAATTATTTTTTGGACACCACTGACAAACGGTGAAGGAAAACATCGTGGCGAAACCTGGACTTACAATTTCTAATAATATTAGTTTGAAATCGCAAACCTGCATTGAGCAAGCGTGGCGAATACATGCTTAAACCTTTTCCACGTGAGAAGAGGTTTTGCTTAGCAGAGGGCATTTATAGGATGATGACAAAAAAAATATATCACATCATAACAAAAGTATCACTCTACCAACCACACAAAATATTCAACCGTCCACCTCGAAACATAATCGAAAAATAAACGTGACGTCACTGTTCTAACATTCCCGAAAATGTTTTATTCCCTTGGACAAGGGTCAGGACCTCCAGAAGAGATTAAAAGACATTATTTACCCGTATATTATATGCGTAACTAAGCCTCAAAAGTTTTATATCTGTGACAAGGGCTCGGGAACATATACTCTGTGGTTCTGGCAGTCATTTGAATGGTTATGACCGAAACGATTTCCTTTGAGGACCGGCAATATACTTTAATTAATTAGAGACACGCACTTTCTTGAATAAACTTCGACATTTATATGTTGCGGGTGGAATGTTTGTTACAAACAGTAAGGTTTTTGGGTGTTTCTATTGATGTGGGTATTTATAAAATAAAATTATAACGTTTTAAATTCAGTTTATACACCTATTTTCTTAAAAACCAGAAATATATTACTTATTACTTTTTGATAAAAGTCTAAAAATGTTTATATGTTCTGTGGTGGCCCATAATTTATTTTGAGTAGTATATTATGAATTAATGGGTAGTTATGTGAAGGAATGTTTTCAAGTTTTCAAGTGTGGCTATTACGAGGTCCAAACCACAGCATTTATGATTGAAATTAACAGTATTTGTGTAACTTTTATCCCCGAGGGGGTAGGCAGTGCACATTATGCCACAGTACAATGTAACACCCACTTTTTTATTTGTGTAATATGTGTAATTAATGTTTAAATTAGGGTACCTATCGGTTATTTTACATAAATTAGGCCTAACCTATAATCAGCCTACAATTGCAGTTTCGTTTACAGTTTCCATTGTTTTGTCAAATCATTGTCAAATGATGGGTCTTGGACAGTAGGCCGTCCGTTCGTGGGTTGGTCAAACTATTAAGCTGGACTTTTTCTATTCGAAACATTTTACTTCATCTATCAACCTATCAGTCCTTTATCAATGTAAAGACTCTGTTAATTTTCCTTATTGATAAGAGGACCAGTTTTCCGTACATTGAACTGAATTGACGTATTCCCAAGAATTAGCCCTTTAACTAATTTCTTAAAGTTTCCGAAATAGGAAAGGTTGACGGAAAAACCGACTTTACAAAGCATGTAATGACAGGGTTTTGTATAGAAATTCAGAAATGGGTTTTTAGCTATTTGAGTGGGTTTCAAAAAGATGTCCAAAATGAGACATTGGAGACATTTTTTTTTTACTGGTTTCGCTTATGTTACGTGACCAATTCGTAGGTTAATATTAAGCATTGTGTGGATGTCTCTCTATTGTCTACGGTCTAGATAATTGATGCCGATACTAACACTAATCTCCTAAAATTGGCATTGTACATCAGCCTTAACAACTTTGAAATGTATGAGCTATTACACTGACAAATTCTAAAAGCAGGTCCAGAAATATGAACCACAACATTGTAAACAGTTGTAAAGAAAAACAAAAACAATTAAACGTTCAGACTTAGATAAAAGCAAAAAGAATAGAACGAACTCAATCACAAAAAAAGAAATGGTTAGAATTCAGTTATTTCTCATCCGATAAAAACCTTTCGACGCGTCAAAACAAAAGATTACAATATTGGTTTGCAACGTTTTTAGAACAACCAAAAATCGAATGAAAGTCAATTTCCCGTTGGAAATGATGTCCGACGTTTTGTTCCGAGCCTTATTAGGTACGAATGACAGCTGAATTGGTTTGAGACAGGCGGCCGAATGCTCGCTTCGACTCGGAGCGAACGTGCAAAGGCTGCGCGGCGGTTTTGGCAAAGATCTGCTTCCCGAAATAGTTCGTAGAGTTGAACACAGTAAGCGGTTTATATTTAGAGCCCGGATTCTAATCGAAGCTTTGAACTTTTTCGTAGAAAATTTTAGCCTTTGATTTTTGGAACGAAAATGTTTGCTGAATATTGCCTGGATTCAACTTACTATTAATATACTCTGTTTTCACGAAGTTAGGTGACAGTGTTGTTTTAAAATACAGACTCTTTTGACAGTGTTAAAGGAGGCGAAAATAGATTCAGTCGTAATTCTAGTCTAGACGAGGATCGTTAAAGTCGTATTGATACATTTTAAGGCTGGATACACATGTAGGACAGGATTACTTTACGACACGTGCCTTAGAGTGCGTCTATTTGAAAATATGACGCATATGAGCGGCTGACATAGTAATTGTTAAGAATCGCAGATCATGCATTTTGCGAATTAACATAACATAACATCACGTCTTTCATCCTCGAAGGGGTAGGCAGAGGTGTACATTATGCCACTGTACAATGTAACTTTTCACTATTTATGTTATGAGTGCCATGTAATAGAGGTGCGCCTATTGCCATATACCGGGCACAATTCCAGAGTCCGTGCTACTACTGAGAATTTTTAAAAATCCAGTAATACTTTGTCCGACACGGGAATCGAACCCGAGACCGCTTTCCCAGCAGTCCTACTTGCGACCACTCGGCCAACGAGGTGGTCATTCGAATTATGCGAATTAAGTGACTTTATTATATCATTCCATTTCTTTGCTAATACTAGTGATAATGAAGTCTTATCTTAAGTTTGACGTACTAGGGTCAATGTTATGTACAGCGTTATCGTGGTGTAATCAAATACAAAATAATACTTATTATCCAGTTCAAGTTTTGCGTCACGTTTTCTACGGCAATTAACCTTTGATTAATTGATGTCATTTGTAGTTAGCTTGTATGTTTATTTTGTAAATAGGACTTTAATTATAACTACATAATTGCTCATTGCATACACATTATACTTATTCCTTTTAATTTCTACGTAAATATATATAAAATATACGACTGCACCGTTGGTGCGGCGCTGGGCCGCGCAAAATGTAACAGGTTCGATTCCCACACGGTGCAATGCTTTGTGTGATCCACATTTTATTGTTTCTGATCTGGGTATCATGTGTAGGTATGTGAACTTGTATGTTTGTCAACGTATGCACGACTCAGGAGAAAATTGTAGTGGGGGCAACGATCTTTAAATAAAAAAGAAAATGAAACAACACAGCACTTAAAATGACATACAATAAATTAATTTTTATTTTCTTCAATTCTAAAACACTCCAATTTTATTCATGTTGACTTAAAAATTCGGGGAAGTCTTTTAAACTTTTATCTATCTGCAACAATAACTTTTACTGTGTTTTTATAACAGGCTAATAAAAACAAACTGACAACTGCAGCTAATTAAAAAAGAAAATGGTGGAGTCAATAAAAGTGACATTATTAAAAATAATAAAACACTGGCACAATGCCAGGGACAGTGTCAATAAAGTGTAATTTATAGAGGAATGTGTCTGTGGTGGTGTCTATGGTCGTGTTCGTTATCTGTGCGATGTAAAGGAGTTTGGTAGCGATGTGCTCTGTGATGTGGTTGCGGTTGTTGGTGATGCTGGCTGCGTGCTGGGCGCAGGAGGGCGAGTGGAGCGAAGATGCTGAAGACCTAGGTAAGACTATTTTTCATTGTTTATCATCATATTTTCAATCTCTCGACTGCACGGCTGGTGCGGTGGCTGGGCAACCGGCTGCCGTGCAATGTGTCGCGGGTTCGATTCCCGCACGGGACATCACTTTGTGTGATCCACAAATTGTTGTTCCGGGTCTGGGTGTCATTGTGTATGTGAACTTGTTTGTTTGTAAACGCACCCACGACACAGGAGAAAATCCTAGTGTGGGGCAACGTTTTTTAAAAAAAAAAAACTTGAAACGACCAGACTGAGATGCACTTGCACTGTTTTAATATGTAATGTGTTCTTGAAGTCGTTTATCCTAGACTATATTTTCCAGTAGTAAATCTTAGAATCGAATTCACTTCTGATACTTTATTTTCAAGTCTTTATATAAATAAACGTTCAAATCACTAAAGACATTAACAATTTTTAACGCATCTTGATTATTTCCTGCTTCAGCAGAACATGCATACAAAGTAAAGCAGTATAGTCGAAATCGGAAACGTCAAACATCTAATTCTAGCCAATAGATTTCAACAACAATGTTCTAATTCTCCAGTGGATTGTGCAGTCGTTGACTATTAAACAGTCTTCGCTAAAAAATAATAATAAACGTAATCTTGTTGTAACAGGACACTGGATTAACAAAGAAAAACGATATTTTCACTTAAAAACAGAAATGCATTGTCAACACCAGTCGGCCATTAAATTACGTAAAGCACTATCTTTAATACAATAAAACAAATCTTCATAATCTTCATATAACAAGATTTACACTCCTTAGTAATGCACCTATTAGAGTAAAAAACAAAATTATTTTTATTTTTATGTTAATAAAATAAAGTAAAAAACTCATAGTGGGATCTTTCTGCTGTAAAAATATTTTATTTAAAAAATTCCATGGCGCACCTCACAGCGAATCGCTGAAGCGATCAAATGAAACAAAATCGAACAAACTCAAGTGGGAATCGCGCTCAACCCATTAAACGCGATTGCTTGTCGAAAATGAAAATGGGGAAATATATTTTCGTTTGTTCGACGGATCGTTGTTCCGTGTTTTTTGTCTGATTTTTATGCAATCCGTCGGGAGCTGCGTTTACACGCAACAAATTGCTCACTTTGATATTTGATTGAGAGCGCTGAACGTAACATGTTGGTCCAAGCGCACACAATGGTTACAAAGGAAAGTTTTAAACGAACAATTCGCAAAGGTGAAGCTTACAAATACAAAGTATAATAGTTCTGGGACACTGGGAACTTTGATTTCACTAGTCCTTCGAGGCCTCTAGACAAGACCCGAAGTTCTCAAGTGGGGACCCTATTTGTTGGCAACAATACTCTCGTACATACCTCGGCGGCGACGAGATATGCCTAAATGTAACCGAGAGTCTTGCTCAAGTTCCATTTCTCGTTTGGATGCCTGCGAAAGAAGCAACAAGAGCGACCCAATTAAAAAGTGTTCATGCATGGGTGGCTCTATTCGACTCCAATTTTATTGGAACGATTAATTTTATTGCGAAAATTTCTGGACAGCGGAACGAATGAAACGAGAGCCGGCTGAGGTGGCTTCAGCGACCTTTTTGTGGTCGCGAAATGGATGGGTTTGTTCAGTACCGAATCTAATCAAAGGGCACATTGCTGAAAAAAGTGCTCGCACCCTCATTGTTACCGTGATGAATGAATTGAAATTTTAATGTAATTGGATATTGGCGATGATCGAGCGCGCCTGATGCCGCTATGTACGACAATAATAAATATCTGCCACTAGATATATTGGCTCGTCAGCCGCGCTTTATTACATTTTTTCTTGCTCGTTTTATTTAGGTCTAATGAAGTGTATGCTCTGAATATAGAACGCGAATAATAATATTCATTGCTAGTTAATTGCTATTACAGAACTACAACGAATTACTTGTACAACTAGGGTAATTTGTATGAGCACAAAACCTTATTACGTAATAAATCATTACTACAGTGAGTTGAAGTAAGAAAACACAGCACATGCTCGTTAATGAAAGTGCAAATTATTTGTTAGCGTCATGCTCGCGAGTTCAGGCTGCGGTACAATCGCGCACACTGGCGCTGTCAACCCAATACTCAATGCGCTTGTGTTCGTAACTGTACATGGCAGTGCCACTGTAAACTTACTAACGAGTAATTCGTAGAACCCATAATGTCCGTGTTGACTTTTATTTAGCCCACAGCTAAATATGAAGCAAACTTGATTTTCGTAGAAAGCAATGTACTCGGAAATGATGACGAATTCCATATCGCGCTTAAATGGAGTAATTTAAAATTAAATCGTAAAGCGACTAATTCGAAAAATCCAGATGCAATACTAGTTTCTTGAAAGAATTATTTTGATTGGCTGTGATTATAGTTCAAGTTGTCGCAATATACAAGATGTTCTGTGGAGGTATAACGTGCACATGTGTGGTGTAGTCGACAACAGCGCAGTAGTTGGCGCGTGAGTCGAGTAGGTCAGGCCCGAGGCTCGCGACGTGTCTCCACAATAATTTTATTAATATTACCCCCGGAAGCCTGTCACGCGCGAAACAACCGCTCGTATATCTTCGGAGTCTGCGAAAAAATATGATATATTGAGAGAACGAGAGACGTAAGAGCTTTTCTTAGCATCCCTTCGCGGAGTTTAGCGTCTTTTTAGTGTACTTAAGTACGATGTAGGGTTTTACTACACCTCGAAATATGAGTTAGTACCTCGAAATAACATTAGTAGCATTTATATATAAGCTTACAAGTCCTCGACTAAATGAATTTCTGAAATGAATACGAAAGGAAATTCAGGTATATTACTAAGAAATGCTAAGAACTCGTCAAGAAAATCTCGAATATTTCCATCGTCTGTTTTTGCTTTATGTATACCGGCACGACAAGAATTGATCAAAGGCCTAATTTCGCTGCACGTGAAATATACCTGTAAGGGAAATGGAACCAAACAGAAATAGATTTAGGACGCATTTTAGCTTACTACTGCTGATATGAACAACTTTAATCACTACATTTCTCGTTCTGCAGCAATAATAATTTTACAAGCTGTGGTTTGGCAATAATTAATATCCGTCTGTATTTATGGCAGGTTGCATGTAGAGCTATGTATTTTTTTTTCATTCAATTTACTTTATAGTTATAACAACTAGATGTTAAATAATTTATATTGTTACAATAATTGTAACGTTAAAATCAACTACAATAAAAACAACGAAACATAAGTCATTAACAAAACCACTTCTTAAATAAAAGTTAGTAATGTAATCTGTAAACTTATCAGTAGATTTTTGTCATTAAATTCACGGTTCAAAACGCATTAGACAGTGAAGTAAAATATTCAGATCGTGTCGTACATTAAACGTGCACAGATTGGTGAGGGCCATACGTGGCGTGTCGTGACATGCCGCCACCCCTCATCTGGCCACATTCGGCACCGCAGTAATGAGTGCCGCAATTCTTTAGTGCCGTCCAACACGACACAATCTATGCCACCGTTATAGCCCACCATTATACCACCGAACCACTAATATAATATAATTTATATTTCCGATACATTATGCGTGACATTCTACGTCAAGACTTGAGGCTTTGTCAGAACAGCTTTATTGTGGAATTATTCCGACTCAAACGCGGCGGTGACATCGAAATAAAGGGGCGGGACCGATTTGGAATTTCATTTCTCTGCTCTTATCTTAATGCGCGGAGGCGTCGCGTCTCGTCTTGACTAGCTGGGATTGCTCTTTTTCGTTCGCTTTATTTACATCAAAACTTTTCAACATTTCTTCAACACATTCGCTTTGAGATAAACATATTTTATCACTATCAATAAAAAAGAATTTGTATTCTAATGTTCTTTTACATCTACAACTTTTTTCTTACGTCAAGTCGACATAACTTTGAGAAATTAATATTTTTGTAATAACACTTTGGTACGTAACTCACAATATATTAAGGGGTCACTCAACTTAATAGGAAACTACTGAAATTCTCTCTCACGTTTTATAGTCCATTTTACCACGAAATTCACTTAGGTAACGATCAGTTAAAATAGAGCCGGTACGTAGTAAAGATTGTTTGATAAAAAACATATTACTGTTTTGGCACAGTAGTATTATAAATAGCGACAAAGCTCAAGGTTAGTTCCCCTGGTAAGGGCTATTCTACATAATTTGTCTAGGGCATAAAAAAGTTACGCAACATACATATCGGGGGCACAATACCTCTTGGGTCTTCAAGCAAATTGATACCCGACTGGCACCGCGAGACCAAGTAATCCGTCTTTATTAGGGTAGTCTTCGCACTGAGTAAATTGAAAATTCCTTCTAAGTATGACTGATGGTGTACATTACTTGGCCCCAACACGTTGACAGTTTTTCCTCAAAGAAAAGAAGATTATTTCATGCGGTGTGGAAACGGAGCGTTTTAATATTGCGTCTATTTATATTCATGGGCTCTTTATCGCCTCGAGAAAGGGAAGCCAGGAATCGTAACGATGTAAGTACAGAATAACAGTGATATTCACTTAAGCATTCTTTTTCTTGGAGTTATACGGAGGCGGGGCTGGTTACCGACTCGAGAGCGCGGGCCATGAATGTTTTGTGTCGACGATTTGGGGTACCGAAATTAGCTTTCGTCTACTGCGCTGCTTGGAGGTATGCATGCATTTTAATCTAACGAGTATCTTGGCTGGTTTCAAGCAGCATATACGAACATAATCCCGTTGATATTGTCTAACAAACGATGTGTATTCTCATTCGGTAAAGCCAATGAAGAAAACAAAAATGTGAATAAAATTATGATTTTCACGAAAAAGGATTTTCGTGATAAGTTCACGTCGACTAGGCCATGAGGAGGGCTTGTAACTTGTATTAAGTTAACTAAACGGAAGAGGTTGAATGTATGAGAAAATTCTTGGTGTAATTTACGGCGCTTATAGCATAATTATGGTACAGGAGGGCCGACTATTGAGGGGTACAGAGAGGCTTAAGACTGTATTATAACATGTAATAACGTGTTCACTATGAACATGTTGGCACCACTATTCAAGGTACGAAGGGTGTAGGGATAATGAAAGAACTAATGAGGATCAGAAGCTAAAAGGAGTAATATGCGACCCTCTATAACAGCTAGTTTTAAAATTAATTAAAGTTTAAGTAAGATGTCTAGGGTAGGTGAGAAGCCATTGAGTTTGATTAATTGACATATGCCGACATGCCGTCCGTCAGGTAATTACCATGGTCTTCTAATTAAACACTTAGGAAAGGCAACTGTGTAAAAATTCAATTTATATTGATCTTTGATTAAACCAACTCTGATTGAGACTCATTATGAAAGAAAATTATAGCTTTACACACAATAATGGAAAAATGAAGCGACTGCGTAGAAAAATGACATACATTCGTAAACTGTCATACTTCGGTATCGCAGTTTACTCACTAAAACATAAAAATCTGACAAACAACATAGACATTTGCTAAATGGATGGATTAAAAACTTTTCGTCAGTCACTCGTATGTCTGCATGGCTCATCCAGCATTTTTATTTCGTGTATTCTCGTTGCCCGACCGTAGTTCTTTTTGCCAATCCATTTTTTATTCGTACGAACAGCAAATTAGAGATTTTTTCCCTTTTTTCGTAAAGTTCACAATGTCAAGTCAATTTATTTGAAGTTAGTTCACTGTGACAGTCATTTAATAAATTGGTACGTTTACAATAGGTTATTCGTACCTGTCTACAAAGGCATATTATGTAATAGTTACGAGTGCTGTTTGGAGAAAAGTGACGCAAAATTTGTCATTGTCTGGTGAAATGTTTCATAAAATTGGTCAAACTTAGATGGGCATACCCAATTAAGTGTTATTGTCAAATGACTTGTTTTTAAAACCTTAAATGTCTCTGATATTATTTATCATTTACGAGTAACTATTAATACTATTATGTGCTCATTGTTACAGTGTCGACGGTGGATGTGGACGCGGTGTTGGGTCGTACGGCGTCTCTCCCTTGTGACGTCACACCCGACACTAATGAAGACAGGGTCTATATGGTGCTGTGGTTCCGAGCTGGAAAGGCCACTGGTGGAAAACCTATATACAGGTACTAAATAAAGGAATTATATTATTTTATGATGTGCAATAATAGAAAAATCTGCATATGCACTATTCTCGTATATGTACAGTACAAGCACATAATATGTACCATTACGTCAATCTAAATTATTAAAACACAAAGCCTATAATCATTACTATAAAATAGAAACACACGTAACCGCTTCACTCAAACGATTACTCATTTCGCTCGTAGCGCTACGCGGCTACGAGCTTCGCTACGAAGTGCTACGTAGTTCGTAGCTTCATTGCTACGTGTTATCCGTATTAATTTGATGTTGATTAATTATTATTGTTGAACTAATCATAGTATGCAAATAATAATTATTGTTATTGTGATTATATTAGCAATTACAACACTGTGTTAGCATTGGGTATTTTAGCGTCATCATTGGAATATTACGATTTTAGTTAGCACAAGCAATTTCCTATTCTATCCATAATTATAGTGGGTTTATTTTGTTATGTTAATATTATTACTTGAAAGTGATTTAATTAAACACAATAGTTATCATTTTCATAAACTTTAAGTAATGATTTATCTTTCTCCTTTAAAACATTGCTCTTTGAAACTTTCAAGTGAAATTACAAAAGAGGTGTTCCAAACGAGAATGAACGGAGACATCGATAGAACGCTCTCGAGCGGACGTACGTCAGCCAAACTGGCGACGTATTGAAAAAGAACAAATTAAAAGTACTCGCAATTAGCGAACATGAATGAAGAGATTGATGAATGCGAAATATACGATAGGAGTCTGTCAGGATAGTAATTGAGATGTTCAGCGTCCTTTGTAATTAGAAATAGGTAAATTGTCAGTTTAAATCTTTAAGTTACCATTAAGCGAAGCAAAAATGCCATATCAATACATAATGTGATGATCTCATCACATTTTTTGATGGATTATGTGTAACTCTTACATTTCCTTACCTCACTAAGTATCATAATTGGGCAGAATAGCAATGCTATGCTATTACAGAACAATTTTCGAAGAACTGAAAAAACTACATTATTTTAAACCAGACCCGGGATTTACGTCCTTTGCGTAACAATTGTACATACGTGGGATCACTTGACCAAAGCACTAGTAAAATATTTTTTCATCGTTAGCCCAGTATGAATTAATTGCCGACAGTACTATGGTAGTGACACGAGCCTGCAGCGTGAGATAAGCCTGTCAATCCAAGACATCAATCATCCTTTGACAAATTTATGTGATTCCGACATCAGATCTTGAACATTGACAGCGCTCATATATAGATTGTCTACGTACTACTATATTTTATAGTATTTCTAGAACTTTTGGTAGTATTTTTACATAACATAATATCACGTCTTTTTTTTCCCCGAAGGGGTGCACATTACGGCATTTAATGCCACTGTACAATGTAACACCCATTTTTCACTATTTATGTTATGAATTCCATTTAATAGGGGGTGAGCCTATTGCCATATACCGGGCATATTTCCAGACTCCGTACTACTACTAAGATTTTTAAAAACCCAGTTATACTTTGCCCGACCCGGGAATCGAACCCGAACTCGGCAATAGTATTTTTATCCAAATCAAAACTTCATTCTTAACAATTTTATTATAGACCACAAACCTAGCAAGTTCATTATAGGTATGGAATATTTACTCACCAACAATATTAACGCATATAACACTGCACCTCCTCTTCTAAATATTCACTCCAAGAATAAGTAAAGCCACAGGTATAACATAGGCAACACGTTACTTCACCTAAGTATATACTTAATCTGATGCTCAACAGAATCATGTTCACATTTCCGTTATGAGATAGCTCGTGATCTCATTTTAGTATCCACACGTAAAAGATTCCACCATCATAATGCTTTGCACTATTTTCACATGAACAAACGTTTCAGGATCTAAGTTTGTTTAATGAAAGTGGAAAATTGGTCTCGAGTATGTGTTAATGATCTATAGAATAATTTTGCTTATGTTTATTTATTTATTGACATTAAAATGAAAGTTTACAGTGAGAGCCAAAATACTTACATTCTAGGATATAAAGACCTATTACAAAAACTTATTGCAATATTAATTACTTAGGTCCTATATTATTCAGATTGTATAGTTAAAAACTTATACAGTAATTTATGTCATGTGATGTATCGTGAAACACATCTAATTCTGGGATGTGTAATATATGGATGATAGTGAACCGTTATAAAATATTCCACGTATTCAACATTTTTACTTTTAGTGAATAATCTTGTGCTGACTTACAGTTGTTTAAAATACAAGAGTATTTACATACAAACATTACTGTTTTGGAAAACCAAAACCAAAATAATGTTGGTTACTTTATAAATAACTACGCATTAGTTTAATATTTCCCAAATAACACATTTAACATATAACATTTTTCAAGTTCGTGCCCTTACCAAGCATTACATACGTATACAACCCACGTAATACTTCACATATCCACAGAAATACAATTATACAACCCACAACGAATTAATGCAAAAAAGGATCGATTCAAAAAAAGAAAGCAACACGTCACAAACAATTGGATCATGAATAAATAAAGGAAAAAGAAAAATCTTGTACGAAAAACAAAAGGGTGGTTTCCAAGATTGTATTACAGGTTCCTGAAGCAAATACACATTTTCACTAATGTCGAGGTAAATATGAAATATGAGTGGGAAGACAAAAATTGTGGATTGATTTACTGTAGCCGTCGGTAGCCGGATCTGTGGGAGATAGGGACTTCCGTGCCACAGATACACGTTACATAGCCAGGGCTGTGTGTGACGAACAATTTATTGAACGATTGTGTGGGTTGAGATTTTATTGAAAGTTATACTTTATTTTTATATTGTTTTTATTAATATTTTCAATTCATTATTGAGTATTTTTAATTATATTATTCTAATCAGTGTTATTTAGTTTATACCTACTGTATTTTAAGCCTCGATTTATTGTTGACTTTTTCATTGACATATTTTGTAGGCAAGCAAAGATATTCATAATTAAAATTTTGTTAAAAATATATTGCATTAGAAATACTACCTTGCTACACATAATAATAGAAGATAGTTTTATTTTTTTAGGATTACTAAGAAAATATTCATAACATTATAAAAGCTATACTCTTGGGAATTCGAAAACTTCAAACAGACATCCCTACAACTTACACGAGTGACCGACTGATACGATTGGAATTTGAATCAATCCAATTCCGTCCATATTTTAGTTGGACTTGAGTTCATTATCGAACGAACACAGTTGAAGTGGATTGAAATATCCGATCGAGATCACGTTGGAAACGGACCAGGTAGTATTCATATTTAATGAAGTTGTACGTTTGTCATACAAAGATATCCGCATTGTTACTGTTTAATAAGTCAGTTCTGCTGTTTGATTAAGATAGTAGAACAATTTTTAGACTAATTTTTATGGTGACGGTAAAGCTCGAGGGACAGGAGTAGGAATGGGGTGGTTTTTAGTCAGTAAGAGTCTAAAACTTTCTCTTACCTCACCCAAGGCGCGAAAAATCATTGGATGAATTACCCCTTAAAAAAACTATCATATGTTCTGTTCTTCTTAGCTTCTTCTATTACTCAATTCAAGTGTAGTAAGAGAGCCCACTAAAACACCTGATCCTTTAAAACTTCGGTCTCTAATCGGCCTTCGAAGCATGTTATGTAACCGGGGCTCCAGCTCGACGTGCAGGAGAAGAAACGGGGTGGTTTTTAGTCAGTAAGAGTCTGATACTTCCTCCCGCCTCACCCAGGCGGGAGCAGTCATCCGATGATTTTCCCCCCTTAAAAAAAACATGTTATGTCCAGAACTTATATACCCATAGTCTAGCAGTTTGCTGTTACGGTTTTGCTGGTGGCACAGTCCATACTTTTTACTATAGGTACATTATTTATAAAAATATGAAATGATATAATCCTCAGCATATACAAAATAATTTAGGTAATATACTTATTGTACCCATTTTTACGGAACATTTTAAAAGGTACTTTCAAGAATAAACATTTGTATAAAAATATTATTATTCATCCGATTTCTGAGGGCAATATTTAGTTCTACAAACTGAGCTCTTTGAAAATATCGCATCGAGCGTTTGACCGTTTGGCTCCAACACCTAGGCTAGGCTTTTCTCAATTTTTCTAGGTCATTCAGTGACCTCGTTCTGCAAACACTCTCCCTGTAGTCTTAGCTACGTTTTCGATTTAATTTCATACTTTTTACCAGAACTAAATCTTGCTTTATTATCGTTTCAAAGTGACCTTATGATCTGTTGTTTTCTGAAAGCTTAGAACTGAAATCTGTTTTGCATATTTTGTGGTTAGTGCTAAAGCTATATCCTAACTATTTTAACTTGGTTTTACTTGAATATGAAAGTCATTGCATTCATAGAATATCAACATTATCGCGCAATGCTGACTTACACTTTTTAACCGACTTCAAAAAACTAAAAAGGAAAAATATAACTATTATTGGTCATACGTACTTATAGCTTACACACCCACTGATAGGTTAGAAGTCGGTGCCACAAACCCACAACAAAATAGTTAATGAGCACAGCTGGTATAATACATAATAAAATTGTAACCAGCTTAAACTGTCAAACACCAAGCGGTCACCGGTGACCGCGACCTATTGTTCTTTAATTGTGTCTACAAAACCGGTACTCGACGAGTTAATAATGTTAGGTATCTAATAAGATTTTTATGAATAATTTTGTTTAAAACTTGTGGCACCGACTTCTAACCTATCAGTGGGTGTGTAAGCTATAAGTACGTATGACCAAAAATAGTTACTTTTTTCCTTTTTAGTTTTTACTTTTCGTTAGTCATTCGTTTTTGAAGTCGGTTTTTTTAAACGCAGTTTTTTATTATCTACAGTTGGTCAATATAAAAAAATAACATTTAGAAAAATCATTTCTTCGAAACACTTAAGATAATTGCGTTTCAACGCAACTCTGTCTCATGACACAACCGTCCAA